TCTGGGAATCCAGTTACCAGTGGTATGCCAGGAAAGTTCACACATGATGATTTCTAAACTTTCCTCAAAATGATTTCATCTTAATGAATATTTTATTTAAACAAAGTAATCATTCAAAATTTTAAAGTCATCAATACAATGGAAAAAAGGCAAATAATGTCTTTGCAATTTCCCCCTTTTCTTTCCCTCCTGAAATACCATTTGGTGTTTCTATACCTCTCTATAGCCGTCACTGATTCTCTCCAAGCTGAGGGAATACACAAGGTCCCTGCCTCCCACGAAGAGTCGCTCTTGGTATTCATCCAGCAGCATTGCGTGGAGATCAAGAAATCCAAAAGGGCTATGAAATATTGATGTTCTGTTCAGTTCCAAGAGTTCTGAAATATAAAGAGATATGTACACTAAAGACATGAGAAAATGCAAATACCTTCATAACTTTTTCTCATAGCTCTATTTTCATCCCTACTGGAACTTAGTAGTTAGCATTTATTTATCACAAATATACTGGCAATAAATTTTAATGTGCACAAATTAAAATCTTTTATTATACATTTATGAATCTAAAAACTTCAAGTCAACTTAACATATAAAGTAAATATTCCATGTTTTTAAATACGGAAAAATATGATCATTGGCAATTTTTAGTACACTATATGGAAAAGTATTTTACAACTTCTGTAAACTATAACAAAATTCCAAATCTACACTAACCCCACCCAAAGTGTGTTTATTTAATTCCAGATGAACACAAACTCAGAAAAATAATGTTTTTACTTGAAATTGGTTTTAAAAGTCACATCCGAAGTCAAATTTTCCAAGTCTGGAAATGATCGGGGTTGTTAATACAATGAGGCATTAACGTGGTAACATTCAGGATAGTGGGGAACCACTGATAATACTGGTGGGGATCTATTTTCTACCATTGTGATTTTGGTTAATGTTCATGCATTCATGTCTATGTCAGAAATTTAAAACTATATGTTTTAGCTACATGCGTTTCATTTTAAGAGGTCAGAATCTGGCAAACCTCGTGTACATTTGTTTGTTTGTTGAAGGCATTTAACTACATATGGCAGTTCAGTGCTTAAGGTTGGTAAAATGATACATGAGAGCCTTTGGTGATGAGAGAATATTGCCCGAAAGACTAGACCCTGAACACTGAAGAATTCCTGAAGAGGAACCTTGGGAAATATTCACAAGTTAGAAGATAACGTCCTTTTCCAAAGGCCAATGTCTAATGCATCTGACAGAGAATGTGATATCTTAATGACCAGGAAGCTAAAAGCTACATGAAAAAGGACAATACTATAGCATTTTGCCCACTCCTACACCTTCTGTTTCTGAGAAACAAGCAATGAAGTATCTTTTCCCCACTGTTAACAATGCATTCCTTGTCCATATCTCTATGCTGAAACTGTAGATGCCCAAAATTTTGTGGTATAGGGTTAAATTTAAATCTTTTAGTTTAAAAGAAGCAACACTGCTAAAATCAATATATTTCTTATAAAAGTAAAACTTAAGATATTGAGTCATTTGAGTCATGTCAAGTTTTGAAAAGGAAGGAATAGCAGGTGCTTTATTTGAAGAGGGGAAAAAAAGGAGTTTAAGAAACTAAAGGTTCTTGAACCCAGGAAGGCAAAATTTTTCCTATTTAATAATTTTGTCAAGGTAGAATCATACTGTTTTCCTTACTAGGCATTGACTTACAGCAAGAGAAGCATGTTTTGGGATCCAATATCACGACAAAAATAAAGATCAAAGCCATCTGCTGCCATTATACTTTGTCTTTACATACCACCATTTATGATTTTCTATTAGGCTGCCAAGTGGACTCTTTCCTACAAAAGTTTCCACAGTTATTCCAATAGTTTGCTAAAGTTTTCCAATTTCTAAGCAAAGTGAAATCATTACCCAAACAGGTACAACTGATAAAGAAAATGTGATTATATGTTAGCTACAATTAACAGGTTTCTAGACTTCGCAGTTACTAGAACTACTAAGATGCAGAGTTTAGGAGACTAAGTTTTCTCGGAAATAAGAGAAAGTCATGAAAGGATGAAAATATGAACGTTATATTATGAATATGAAGTGTTGCCATGGTGGAGTAATCTGTGCCAATATAAAAAAAAAAGGTTTGAATTGGAATGAGAGACAGCCCAATTGGTAAAGGAGGCACTCCATGAGTGAATGACATCTAGGGATGACCTTCCTTGATTCCTGATGAGGTCCTTAGTACCTTGTCATCTCTGTATATACATGGCAAGATAGACACCAATTTCTACTTGTTTTTATGACTTGCCAATTTTTGATAAGCATATTATAATTCTATTGATATAGTATAAAAGTGGCAGTTCCCATTACTTTGTCAATAATAGAAACTAATTACTAAACCATCAATTTTACTTTATTCTGATACATTAACTCTGTTCTGACCCATCCTCCTGCTCTATGTGAAGTCTATTCTACAACACCACAAAGATGCACCCACGTTTCTGTGCATACATAGTATGGAGATAGCAAAAGGGAAAGAACTGAGGTGTGCACTCAACAAATGCATACTTTGTTCATTTTTAATGGTCTTTACATTTATCACTTTTTTTCTAAAACAGTAAGCAACCACAGCATAATGATTTAAATTACCAAT